TGATCAGAAAAAGTGTCGCACTTTACGATCACATGTCCGATTCGTCAAGTTTTGCTGCCCCCTCCATTTGAAGGCCTGCAAAAAACAGACGCCCTCAGCCACACGGGTGCCTCGAGGCAGGGAGCCACTGACCGCAGAACAATTCGGAATATTGTTCCAGACTTTGGTTCAGCATGTGCAGCAGCCTTGGGCTGCTGTCTTGTGTGTTCTCCAACTCTTCTTCGGGGAGAGAGCAGACTGTGCAAGGCAAGCTTCCAGTGATTGGTTTCGCAACTTGAACCCGGCAACTGGCAGACCGCCAGCAGTCTGTATTCCAGAGTGCAATGGCAAAACCAAAGCCAGAGAAGTTCAGCTTCCGCTGAGCTTCGGGAAGCTGTTGTGGGGCTGGATTGAAAAGCCTTTGCAGAGTCCGAAGGGTGCACTCTGGCCCTTTGCAGGGCAAGAGTTGAAAGAAGCACTCAGAAATGGAAAGCCCATGCTTCTTTTTCCAGGGCGAAACCTGGGAGGACGTGATACACGGAATTGGGGCCAGCCTATCACGGAAAGGTCGTATCTAGAATCGCTTCGAAGTGCTGCAGATTACATTCGCATCCGTAGATGTGAAGCCCGGGATCAGGATGACTCCCATCCTTTTGAAGGATATGACCTGGACCTTCTCGGCACACACTCCATGAAGAAGTCAGCCGTCACAGAGCTTGCAGACAATCGTGTTTCTTTGACGATCGTGAGTCAGCTGACCGGCACCACAGCACGAACGCTGTTGCAGACATACTATAAGCCGTCGAAGCAAACACAAAGAGCAGAGCTGGGTGAGGGTTTCGCCATGATTGCAAAGGCCGTGCGGCCACAGGCCACGGAAACAAAGAGTTTCTGTGTTCAATGTGCCACCGAATTAAAGGAAGGGTGGAAATTTTGCCCGAAATGCGGCAAGCCATCTGAATCTTTGTAAGTGTCGCTCACGGCACAGAAGCACAGCAGGCTGCAGCCGAAAAGCCGTAGGCACAGAAGCACAGCAGGCACAACCGAAGAGCCTTAGAGTGTCAGCTTGAGCCTCGAGCCGTTTGTTTAGGGTTGTGGGTTATAAGTTTCGAGAATTTAGGGTTGGGGATTCTTGTGTCGGGCAACATTTTCTGATGTCGTATCTCTGCGAGTGAGCCAAGCCCCCACCTCGAAACCCTAAACCCTGACCCTAACCCTAAAACCTTGTAAACCCTAAAGCCTTAAAAGTCCTAAAACCTACAGTCTGAACCCTAGACCCTTAAACCCAAAGTCTTAAATGCTAAAACCTTCAATCAAACAAACATGCAACGAAACCCTAAATCCTAAAGCCTGCGGCTTGAATTATTGAAAGCCTCTAAACTGTAACATTCTTAAAAAAACCTAATTCCTTCGACCCCGAACCTTATAAACCCTAAACCCTAAAGCCCTAAACCCTAAACACCTTCAAACCCAGAACCTGAAGCCAAAAGCCCCCGGTGCCGCTGCCGGCCGTCGCTCCCGGAGCCACGACCTGAGAAGCTGGGCTTCAGGGAGTTTAGGTTGTTTTTTAGGGCATAGGATTTAGGGTTTAGGAACTCGGACTTAGGTTTAGGGTTTAGGACTCTAAGGGTTATGGGTTTGGAGTTTAGGTTTAGGGCTTGGTGCCCTGATGCAAATGGCAGCTTTCTTGAGCCTCCTCGAGCAACCGTCGTATCTCTCAAAATTTTGACCCGCACTGTCTCGCATGTCTAGTCGCCAATATGTGCTGTTATAACTAGTTTAGTTCTGTCACAGTGCGAGCCGTAGCGAAACCTCGCTGAGCACCTAAGCAGCTTAAGCCTTTAGCTCCAAGCAGTGGCCCGCCGGCAATTCCAGCGAGCTCGTAAACACCACAATCGGCCTCACTGGCCCGAGGCCGTTGATCGTGTGATTCACTACCCAAATGACCTTTGTCACGCAGGAATCCCACGCCGCTACATCAGCCAGCAAAGCGCCATTGGTCTGGGTCATTTTCTCGCCCACTTGGCCCTTTTCTGGACGAAAGCAGACATCGTGCTCCTCGCATCCGTAAGTTCTATTCCTCCCTAAATCCGAACAAACTAACCAACCATCCTAAACCCTCAGCCATCCACCCAAGCCCTTAGTGACCTGTCCTTTTTGACATCGTACTGTCCCGGATGCCCAGGCTTGTCATCCATGCGATGGTACTGGATTCGTGGCTGCGGCTTCTCAGCCAGGGCCTTGCTGATGTCGATGTAGTTGTTGTCGAGGATCACGGGCTGCTTCATGTCGAGCACGTGGAAGAGCAAGTCATTCTTCTCAGCAGTGTTGCCGGTCTTGAACTGGGCCCATTTTCCTTTCCCGAAGCCAACCGCCACGCTGCCACAGTTGATGGACACCTGGGGTTGAACGGTTTGGGTTTGGGGGTTTGAGGGTGTTTCCAGGCACGCTGCTAGACTAGGAGGATTATCGAGTCGAGAGGCGGTCACTTCTGAGCCGGGATTGACCACATACATCGACCCGTCACTCCGGAAACTCAGGTAGGGGGCAGCTCCCTTCGCCGGCACCTTCACGTTCAGCAAGGCCACCTGCAAAGAGGGCGATTGAGGCTTTGGGTTTAGGGTTTAGGGTTTAGGGTTTAGGGTTTAGGGGTTTAGGTTTTGGGCTGTTTCAGGGCTGAGTGTGCTTGGGTTTTAACGTTTACAAGCCTGGGCGGTCTCATCTGCACCCATGTTGCACACTTCGATCGTGGTCACATCCGTTTTTGGCCTTTTCGCGATCGGGCCAGCTCCTGCAGCTGCACGCTTTTCGCCCTTGCCATCAGACTCCATCTTGCCGAAGAGCTCCGTAATGTTATCCATGATCTTCTTGAAGTCATCCCCATGAGCCACATGGTGATACCACTTCGTGATGAGATCCTTTGGCATCGATAGAGACTGTGCTTTCCCGCTGGAGTCCTGTGCAGGGTTTCTCGGGACCGGAAATGATTCGGCTTAGGGTTTAGGGTTTTAGGGCTGAAGGGGTTAGGTTTTATTGGGGCTTTAGGGTTTAGGGCTGAAGGGGTTAGGTTTTATTAGGGTTTAGGGTTCAGGGTGTAAGCCAAACTCCTTGGAAATTGTCAGTCGCTTCATGGAGGGAACTGGTGGTGCTGTGGTCAAGTGCTCTGCAGGCGGTTCAGCAGAAGACCTCAGGCAATGACCGTCACCCTAAAACTCTAAACCTTAAACACTGATAATCCGATCAGACTTACTCGGGGCTGCACCTGGAGTGGCCGGCAACCTTTAGCTTGCCTGCTGCAAATTTCTCGGCGAGGACATCCTTGTAGTGGGTAAACATCCACTCCCGCACGTCTTCAGTCGGCGAAAAGAAGACATAGTGAATGGTTCGGTTGCTGCCCTGCTCAAGGTCAACGAAGGCCTGTTGGAATGTTTGTAAATAGTGTAATTGAAGCTAAAAAAGGTCTGGGAACATGTCTGTAAGTTCAGGTCACTGTATCAAATACAGGCCACAGACAGGAAATTGCCGACCACCGGATGCAGGTCGATAATATCCACGCCCGTCTTCGCTGGCACCTCCACGTTCTCCTAATTCACAAGCACACAAGGTCTTCGATCGTCTAGGCGGCTGGAGGGTGGCTTTGATTCAGCAAAGCTTCGAAAAGTGCCTGAAGCAGCTTCAGTGCCGCATCGTGTCCTAGCTGGGCCCATCGGAGTGCACCTTTGACGGTGGCGGTGAGCTCGACACTTGTCGTCGAGGGCAAGCTTGTGTCGGAAATTTCCTCGATTGTCAACATGTCACGCCCGGAGAGCTGCTGAGCTTCCTTCGTCCGCGATTTACGAAAAAGGGTCGATTTCTTCCAAAAGAAATTCGCCGACGGGGTGTTGTCGGTGGCAGGAGCCAACAACAAGTGGCCTGGGTAAGACAGTGGCCGGTCGTCCCTGTCGTCCTGGGCATTGTCCGGCATTGGGTCTATGAGGTTCTAAGGGTTTGCAGAACGCAACGGTTGTCCTTATCTTTGCACCTCTAAGCCCCAGACGACCTTGTCAGCGAAAAGCAGAGTGAACACCCGGTCCATCTGAGCCCCTGTCATGGCAACCTTTTGCTGGATACTCTTATCCTCGGCATACCTCCCGTTCTTTTTGTAAGAAAACAACGGGGACAGCATGACGCAGATGTTGTTGATCCCGGCGAGGGCATGTTGCGAAAACTTCAGGATGGCAGCTTGATGCTCCGCTTTCAGCAGAGCCGGTGCGACGAAGTTCATGAGACAGGCTTGAACCTCGGAGGAGAAGGATTTCGATCTCGGGCTGAAGCTTCAGATTCAACTTTCATTTTCCGGTTCTGGGTTTGGTGTAGGGCTTTATACATCTAAGTGTATGTATGAAGAGTATTGGGTGGGGTTTTACACCGCATTCCGAGGCCTCCCCAAACCCCCTCCTATGAAGGGCTACCAGGTCGGTCTGTCACACACTGTAGACCCTGCCGAAGAGACTGTATACCCTGCCTAAGAAGGAAACACCTTGCCCCCCTCTAGCAGGGTCTACAGTAGGTCCAAAGTAGCAAAAACCCAATAAAACGGACCTTGGTGGACCCTCATACCCCCTCCGGTCTAGGTTTTAGGGCTTAGGGTTTAGGGCTTATTCGGGGCACTCGTGTTGGACTCTGGGTGGCTGGCTACTTAGGGGTTGCATTTAGTTTTGATTCAAAAAAACTAGATTGCAACACTGGGGCCAACTTAGCGGTTGCACTTGTAGGCTTGTTCCCCAAAACACCCTAGGGTTGCAATCGCAGGAGTTCACAGTAGAAAGAAGAAGAGCATTTCACCCAGTCGGCTAAGTAGCTGTGTTGTCCAGATGCAACTGCTTCTCACGTCGTGCCTTCGAGTCCATGTACTCCGTGATGCCAATTAGTCCGGGATCTTGCCCGTCGATTTTAGTCGTCTCAGCCCACACGAAAGCTGTCACCTGAGCTCAGAATCAAGCCTAAGTTTATCTGTGAATGCAAGCCGGATAGCCCAACACTTATTCGTAGCAAGTAGCATGCCGATCCAGATAAGCTTCTGCTGCTCCCATCGCTTCGTCGTGCAGCTTTCGCCGCCACAAATTCTTTTGGTGAGCCACCGTCGAGTCGTGGCTTGCTGTGTTTGCTAGAAATACTTGGAACGACTGTAGGTCGAACTCGATCTCTTGCTTCAGCAAAGCAAAAGTGGTTGCATCCAACTCCATCTGTGCTTTGTCCAGGTTCACGCTGGCTGCACCCTTGGGCTGAGCACCAGGCCGGCCACCGTTGAACTCATCCACGAGTTGTCGCAAGCCTGTTTCAGGAGAATTCGGGGGCCCCCCACACCCCACCCCAAACCCGGCTGATGTCATGATGCAACACTTCAATCATTCAAGCAAGGAGCTGTCGCAACTCCTTGGCCCGAACCCCGGATCTTTCGAAGCACACGCAGCACCCAGCTCTACTTCCAAGGCGACGTCGCCCGCAGCGAGCCGTTTCAGCCACCTGGCAGGATAGAAGGCAACTGCTAGTTTAAATAAAACTTGTTTGGGAGGTTCGCTTACGGTCAGTGCTCTGGCCTCTTGTTGATGTAATCTTCAATGTTCGGGATCTCCTTGACGAGGTCCTCTCGCAAAGCCACGGCCAATGCACCTGAAGTAGTCTGGGGGGTTCTGAATGATGTGTAGCTTCCGGCTCAAAAGTCTGCTGTGCAAATAGGCGGCAGAACTCACTTCTCTGCTCCAGAGTTGTTTTCGTCGGCTTCTGACGAAGTGTTTTCGGCATCCCCCCGAACACATTGTTGGTGTACTGGAGGGTGTAGGTAGCAGATTCCCTGGTGACCAGGCCGTAGCGGGCCCAGTTGCTTTGCTTCGTCACTTTAGCTCCTTTGAACTGCCAGCCCGGGAGCAGCTTCTTCGAACTGAGATTCTCCTCTGAGTAGGGCGATCCTGAGTAGGAAACAGATTGGTCGATCAGAAGCACAGCCTTAAAGTTGCACGGCTGATGTTGCTAAGCGGCCCTTCCAGGACAATTTGTTGACAATGCTCAGAATCTGTTCTCGCACCTCCCCTTCCAATTCTAGTATATTACGGACCGTCATAAAACGCTGGCCCGTCAGCCTGTCACGGGCAGCTGCCCCGTCGTTCCAAGCACGGATGACATCCGAGGTGTCCCAGCCCCCGCTGGCTTGCAAGGAGATGAGGCCGTTCAACCACGTTATCGGATTTGGGGCTTCTCTGATTGATCCTCGAGCAAGAACTTTCATGCTGTAGAACCTTGATATTCCGGAAGCTTGCTTCAGTGGTGACATGTCGCACAGCTACAGCTTAGACCTGAAACTCTTGCCCAGGGGCAACTCGTCCTTGGCATCCAGCACACGAAGGCACTTCACCGCAATTCGATTCGTGCTTGATGCCATTGGAGGACTCGCCTTGCAGGAGTACTTATTGAGGTGAATGCAATTGATCCCGAATCGTACGATCTCTCAAGCAGTAAAAGTCTTTGTTCCTCCTACCCAAGTCCCACGAAACCTGACTGCTTTTATTTTCTAACACCCTGACACTTTGAAGGGTTACTCACTTAGTAGGGCGAAGTTAGGATTTAGGGTTTAGGGTTTAGGGGTTTTGGGGTTTAGGGGTTTAGGGGTTTAGGGGTTTAGGGGTTTAGGGGTTTAGGGTTTAGGATTTTGGGTTCAAGGTTTCTGGGACCAGCCTGCAACAACGACATCCCTTCAAGCTTGAAGCAGGCCATCATGGCCAAGCATGTGACCATACGGGACTGTCCTTTGACGTAGCAGAGGGAAAAGTCGGCAATTGTATCACCCGATGTCACCTCACAGTGCTCTCCCAAGTCATGCCGGGTGCTACAGAACAAAACCCCGCAGTCTAAGACTCTAGGCCGAGTCACCGGGACCCTCAACATCAGAGGCTCTGTGGCAGTCAGGAAGCCATCAGCCAATATGTTGTCAACAAGGGCATCGCTTTTGTGCAAAGACACCGGACCGCATTGGGTGCAGTTCTCAGCAAAGCTGAACAGAGCAGGGTGCACAAAGCAAGCCTCGCACGCATCTTCACGGTTCGGGGTGACGACGGGCAGGTCTTTGTACTTGTCGTTGTGAGCCACTGTGTCCTCGCAGACTTCAGCCCTAAGATAGTCGGCAAACTCAGCCCGAGCCGATGCATTGGGGAAGTGGTGTGCCAGGAATTGCCGTGGTCCACCATGGCCTCGCCAAAGGACGGGCATCGCTGAGGGTATTCCAATTCAGGGTCAGTTTCTGAGGTGTGCACGGTTGAAGTAGCCCATGATCATGCTCTTCATCCGGTCGCGATTCTGTGCTGCTTCGGCAACTGTAAGTTCTGACGCAGACGGAGCGGTTGTTGCTGCCTCCCGAGTGGTGGGTTCTGGGGTTGTAGGGTTCACGGTCAAACAACAGCCCCGCAACAGGCCTGGCTCATGGCCTCATCTGCATCTTGATCCTGGGGGTTGTCCATGGCCATAGGGCCGCCTACTTCCGACATGTTCCGGAATCACACGAACCCCTTGAGTCAAAAGCCTCACGGCCGGCCGGCAGTGTTCAGCCAAGGCAAAAATGTTCTATGTCGAGCGACGATAAGAAAGGCAGGAGTTCGAGCGATTTCGGCCGAAGTCGATCGAACTCAATCACACACACGCGAATCCTTCTAACCAGACTACAGAGAACGGGGATGAGGGTTCGAGGGATTACCTGCACCAAAACTCTGATCGAGGGCTTTCGGCCGAAAACATTCGAACTCGCATACGCAAAACGAACCTTCGAGCTCGAGGGATGAGTGGCCGTTCTGCTGTTTCGCATCCAATCGCTGTCGTCCTCTGAACTCTGGGACTACATTTCGCAGGCAAGCGAAGCAATAGGCAAAGATGCAAACATAACGGGTAAACTATGCTCAATCTTCTTGACACAAACATAAAAGTCGCTGGCCCTCTTGCAATGCACATTGGGCACTGCAGAACAAGCAGCCTGGCAGGAGCTGTCAGCACCAGAATCACTTGTACTTCGTCGCCTTTTACCACAGCCTTGGCTTCTGATTCTGTCTCTAATGTGACGGGTCTGTCAGTGTCTTACCACAGAGAGAGCCTCAAGCTGAGTCGCAGACACCACGGGGCAGGAAGTCGTTGAGGTGGCAGTCTTCTCCCGGTTTTAACTTTTGGGCTTCGCCTTGCTTGGTCGCCTTCTCTTTGTTTTGACACCGGCGGGCTTCTTCGTTGCTCTGGGGTTCCTGGTCTTCTTGGCACTGGCAGCAGGCTTCTTGGACTTCTTCTTCGCTTCGGGATTCGTCGTCTTCTTGGTGCTGGCAGCAGTTTTTTTTGCAGGGGTCCTCGTTTTGGGATGCCGGATCTTTGACCCAAATTGAGCAAAGACGTCCGAGTTTGGTGGCAAGTGCACGCTCGGCAATTCGAGGTCACAGTCACTATCGATGTCGGGAGGCAACTCTAACGAGTGGCTTGACATGGCCTGTCTCACAGGTGGACTCTCTACAGCAAGCACTGGTCAAGGCCTGAACCAAGAAAGCAAGGGAAGTGTCTCGCATGGAGGCCTGCACCAGGAAAGCAAGGGATGTGTCTCACATGGGACCGGCTGTAAATGTCAAGCTGGCAGCTTCTGGGTACTTTTCGTCGGCAAGTTTCCCCGATTCCTCCAGCCTTAAACGCAAGATTGCAGGCTAATCGCTGTGCTCTCCCAGTCTTGTGGGGGCAAGCAAGTGTTGTCACTACAAAATCAGAATGTTCGACTGTGGGTGTTCGCCGCAAGTTCTCTGAGGACCTACATACGGGTTTCATGTGGGCCAGTCTGCAAACACTCACAAACGGACACTCCCCACCCCTGGTGGCAAATCTCACCTGGCACCCCTTCATCTGTCAACATCTCAGTGTCCGGGCTCACGACGACACAGCTCCTCGCCCACGTCCTCGCCCACGTGTTGCAGATCCACGTCCTGCTTGAGGCTTGGCAGCAGCAGCTGCCTTGGCAGCAGCTGCCTTCGCCTTCGCTTTCGCCAATCGTGCTACTCGCCGCTGCCGGTAGCCGACGTCTTTGCATTGCCCACAGCCTAGCTCGTAATCTCTACACTTTGGGCAGCCGAGGGTGTCCACAGTGATCTCACGTTCGTTCCGCTGGGCTGGCAAGATGACTGGCTCGCCCACTGGAGGCGGCAAGGCTGGATGTTCAGCTGGAGCTGGGTCGTCCACTGGAGGGGGCAGGGCTGGATCTTCAGCCGGAGCTGGGTCGTCCATTGGAGGGGGCGGGGCTGGTTTTCGCTTCTTCTTTGAGGCCTGAGGTGCCTTCTCCGGAGCACTCCGCTTGTTCGCAGCAACCGTCACAACACGAACTGGGCCTGGGGCGAACTTCTGCCACCTGGAGTGGAAACGCGAGGAGTGCTTTTGGAATCCCAAAAACCGCTCATACTCATGATGCTCGCCGGCCCCGTGCCCAAAGAACCCGCAAATGCTCACGACCCGCACAACAAAACTCGCCAGCCCCAAAAGCCCAAAATGGTTCTCCCTGCTCCCTCTCCCTCTCCCTCTCCATCTCTCTCTCTCTCTCTCTCTCTCTCTCTATGAAGGGCTACCAGGTCGGTCTGTCACACACTGTAGACCCTGCCGAAGAGACTGTATACCCTGCCTAAGAAGGAAACACCTTGCCCCCCTCTAGCAGGGTCTACAGTAGGGTCCAAAGTAGCAAAAACCCAATAAAACGGACCTTGGTGGACCCCCATATCTCTCTCTCTCTCTCTCTCTCTCTCTCTCTCTCTCCCCCATTTCCCTCTCTTCAGTATCTCACAAACGAGGCCCGCACCCTAGAGGGTCAGGCACATGCATTTGGATCGGAGATGCATTCAAGAACCAATCAGGCTTTGTGGTCCGGCCAGGAACTCCGCTTTCGTTCGCATCCTGATTAAGAGTACTAGGTAGCCATCAATAATATTTAAAGATATTCTGAGTGGTCAGGGTCGCATGTGTCTGCTGCTTCCACAACGGGGGCTTGAGGGAACGAAATTGAGGGCAGCTCCACCCATTGAAGAAGGTAATCCCGGGCCCGTGTCAGATTCCACGGATCTTTGGCCACGGTGTGTGCAGTCTTGCGAAACCTCGGATGACAAAGGACTTCAGGAGTATCATCTTACGATCATACGGTTCACAGCTCTTAACTTACTGCTACAGAGCTTCTCCTCCCGCTGTCGATTGGAGAGCATGTTTCGTTGCAGAGGCACTAATGTGCCCGGGTCGAGCTTCTGCAACCAGCCGTGCGAGAACAGAAGTGTGGGAGGTTGACTTAGTTCTGCACTGCTCACCAATTCCTTCAGGAGAATCACTGCATCCTCCGGGTGCTGCTCCTGGCTCGAAAGCTCAGTTTCTGGATTTGGACTTTCGTGCAGGGGTCAGGGGTCTAGATGGTCCAGGCTCGGTTTGCTTCAAGTTGGGCCTTTGGGTGCAGAGTGTGGGTGCCAAGCAGTCCCAGTTTTTTCCAGGACTTGATAAGAACAATAGGGGGTTGGGTTTAGGATTTAGGTTTAGGGTTTAGGTTTTAGGGTTTTCTCGGGTCTTGATTGGAACAATAAGAAGGGGGATTTGGGGGCGGGGGAGAGGAGGCCCTAGACTCCTAGACGCCCTAAGATTTCTCCAAATATGTGTATGTATATACATATGTATATATATATATATATATATTTATCATACATATCATGTATCATATATATATATATATATTATACACACACACACACTAAATATAATGTACATACATGAGCAATACGAAGTGTAGGACACGCAGCAAGCAGGACACCCAGAGAGTCCTCATCAGGCAACTCCAGAACAGTCCACTCTGTCTCGGTCTTCTGGTCGTACGTCGGCAGATCCTGAATCTCAAAGCAACAGTCCTCAAAAGAAGCCCATCGTTCGCTTCAACATGACTACGCACATTTCTCGATGCCGCTATGGGTCAGAACGACGAACAATTCGCCACGAATGCACAGTCTGAAGATGGCGAGGGCCAGAGACTAGGCCGGTGATGTGGACATCCAAACCCTCAAACCAAGCCTTAAAATCCCATCCCCCTGCCATGACTTCCACGACTAATTGCCGCTTTCGCCCAGGACGAAGAGTGTCGCGAATCACTTGGACGAAATCCTGAGGCCGGGTTTAGGGTTCAGGGTCTAGAAGGTTTAGGGTTTAAGGTTTAGGGAAGTCTACTAAACATAACAGTCGGCCGCCTCGGGATGCTGTAGCACA